TAAACCCCTAAACCCCTAAACCCTAAACCCTAAATCCTAGACCCAAAACCCCTAAACCCCTAAACCTCTAAACCCTAAACCCCTAAACCCCTAAACCCTAAACCCTAAATCCTAGACCCGAAACCCCTAAACCCCTAAACCTCTAAACCCTAAACCCCTAAACCAACCCAAAGAAGAGACCAAGTCACGAGCGGCTCCTTCACAGTGACCACTTTCAGATCGGACTCTGCCATCGACTCCACCTTTCTTGGGCTTTGGGTTGGGGGTTTAGGGGTTTAGGGTTGGGGGTTTAGGTTTCAGGGTTTAGGGTTTCGGGTTTAGGGTTTAGGGTTGGGGGTTCAGGTTTCAGGGTTTAGGGTTTAGGTTTCAGGGTTTAGGGTTTAGGGTTGGGGTTTAGGGTTTTCGGTTTGGTGTTGACTTTCTTCGGGGTTTCAGAGAGCCCAATCAGGACTCTAGCCTACAGCATGAGGGCTTCTTTCTATGATTTTAAAGAACACTTGCTATGATTTTCAAGAACACTCCTAAAATGAAAGTTCCTGAAAGTTCCGGAAAAGGTTCTTCTGACTGGTTGTTGTCAGCAGCACGTCTTTCCTTTTGCTTTCAGGGTTTTGTCAAGTTGTATAAACGGCTTATGGAGGTTTCCAAGTTGTTTGTCAGGTTTTTGCAGAGGATTCAAAAGGAAACCCTAAACCCTAAACCCTAAACCCAAAGCCCTCAACCCTGAACCCTAATCCCTAATCCCAAAAGGGGTTTTGGGTTTGGCGGATTAGGGCCGGCGGTGAGGGGTTCGGAGTCTGCCGTTCGGAGGTCTTGGGATGAGGGTGCTCTTTGGCATTCAGGGGCTTAGGTGCTTTGGCTTTAAGGACGTGGGCTTAGCCTAAAAACTGGGAACTAAAGAGCCAATGGTCAAAACAGCAACACTGATAAGAACAGCAAGAGGGAAAGTGACCAACTCCAGGGCAGACAACTATCACGGCAGGTCTTGCCATATCTCCAACTCCGACCCTCAAGCCCTCAAAGCCCCGCCGCGCCTGGAAGTCCAAGCGGCTCCCAGCAACGGAAATCTTCGAAGGAGCTTTGGGGAGGCCGACCAAGACGAGGCGCTCAACCCGAAGGGAGCTCTCAGCCATCTCCTTGGGTTTAGCAGATCATCGTCGCAGTGGCAGTGGCCGCAGTGGTGGTGGTGGCGGTGGTGGCGGT